TAACAATAGGAGGTAGGAATTGTCTGGGCAGTTAGGGTGAAAAATCCCGAAGAAAAGTAGCCAGTTTCTTGGCTAAAAGTCAAAATGTCCTTGGGCCTCTTAGCAACATATTCTGTTCAAAGTCCAAAAATGTCAAAAGTGTTTGGGAACTTCTATCTAATCCTTAAAAGATTTTAGGGTTACCTCTTCAGAGGGGGGAATGTTAGAGTAGCCAAAATCCCCATAAAAATAAATAAAGAAGAAGAAAGAGTTAAAAAAAAAAGAAAAAGAAAATGCCTCACAGACATGGTCACAGGCGAATCCAATGGAAGCAATTCCTCAACTGAGGTTCCCCTTTACTAGGTGTCTCTAGCTTATGTCAGGTTGATAAAAACTAACTAGCACAGGAAGTTTCTAGTTTTCTATAAATATTGGAATAGGTTTATTCAGGCTTAAAACCTTATTGCTCACTGGGGGCTGGAGAGATGGCTCAGTGGTTAAGAACACTGGCTGTTCTTGCAGAAGTCCCAGGTTTGAATCCCAGCACCCATGTGGCAGCTAACAACTGTCTGTAATTCCAATTCCAGGGCATGTCACAGCATCCTCTGTCCTCCGTGGTCATTGCATGACACGGATGCACTTACCTACATGCAGGCAATACACTCATACACATTAAAAAAAAATCTTATTGCTCACTCAGCCATACTTGATATGTGGTATTATTTAATAAAATAAAAAAATTTATGAAGCCATCAGTAATATGGTTTATCTGGTGATTCATAGCACTTATAGCACTTTTAGACTATCTTCTTTGAAGTTATGCATAAAGTCCATTTTTAAAAGTTTGCTTATTTGTTTATTTTAATTTTATGTGTATGAGTGTTTTGCCTACATGTATGTAAGTGCACCCATGTGTGCAATGTCTGTGGAGGCCAGAAGAGGACATCAGATACCCTGGAACTGGGGTTATGGATGGTTGTTAGCTGACATGTGGATGCTGGGAATGGGTGCTTGGTACCCAACCTGGTTGCTCTGCAAGAGCAGTCAACTGCTATTAATCATTGAGCCATCTCTCCATCCCCATATGTTCCATTTTTGAGTTACCAACCATAGTTGATGGAATTGTAAGAGCCTGGCTTCTCTCTTTTCTGAGGTCAAGCCATTTTTCAAAATCCTGTTCTCAAAAACTACTGCCCAAAGAGCTTGAGTGAGAGGTGCAGGCAAATATTCAGGTCTGCAGCAGTCACAAATGTAAATATTCAGAGGCATTAAAGATGTCCACCCTCAGACTGAGAAACTCAATGTAGTCAGTTGTGAAGGCATATCTGTAATCAATTTTTAAGGCTTGTGTAACAAATACCAGAGACTGGAGTATGTAAACATAAAAAATTATTCTCTCACAGATCTGGAGGTTAGAAGTCCAAGACCGAATTATCATTTGTAGGGTTGGATCCCTCTTAGACTAAGAAGGGACAATCTCTCCCAGGCTTCCCTCCTTGTCTTGGAAGTGGCCATCTTCAATCTGTGTTCACATACTATTTATGGAACACATACTTTGTGTAAGGTCATACTGGCCTCTTCTCTCAAGCTGTAATTGAAAGCCACCAGCTTCCTCAAAAGTCACATTTAATTACTTCAATGTTAGCAGTGGACAGAGAACAACTTCTTGGCCCAGAGTTTTGATTCCCCAGGATTCACACATCCTGTGATCTGCCACCATTTAAAACTGCCAGTTTGATATTCCCAGGGAACTGGGTTGTAAGTACTGTGATACTCCACTTAATTTTATTGTGTTATCCCTAAATATTTATTAAAACATTGTTTCAATCTTTAAGCCAGGAGAGTACCACTTACCAGTGAAGGTTGTTAAGATGTTATAGTAGAATTTTTGGGATCTCTTGTGTATAATATCGTATCCTCTGCAAATAGGGATAATTTGACCTCTTCTTTTCCAATTAATACTCTTTTAAATTCCTTCTCTTGTCTTATTGCTCTTGCAAGAGTTTCAAGCACTATATTGAAAGGAGTGGAGATAGTGGACAGCCCTATCTGGTTCCTGATTTTAATGGAAATGTTTCCAGTTTTTCTCCATTTAGGATGATGTTGGCTATGAGTTTATTGTATACAGCTTTAATTATGCTGAGGTATGTTCCCTCCAGACCAATTCCTTCTAGGACTTTCAACATGAATGAGTGTTGGATTTTGTCAAAACCCTTTTCTACATCTATTGAGATGACCGTGTGGTTTTTGTCTTTAAATCCATTTATGTTTTGTTACATTTATTGACTTATGTATGTTGAACAGTCCCTGCATCTCTGGAATAAAGCCGACTTGATCTTTCTGATATGTGTCTGTATGCAGTTTGCAAGTAGTTTGTTGAGTGCCTTTGCATCTATGTTCATTAAGGATATGGGTCTGTAGCTTTCTTTTTTGATGTATCTTTACCTGGTTTTGGTATTAAAGTGATACTGGCTTCATAGAAGGAGTTTGGGAGTTTTCCTTCTGTTTCTGTTGTTTTGAATAATTTAAGCATTATTGGTTGCAGATTTTCTTTGAATGTCTGGTAGGCTGTGAATCCATCTGGGCCTGGGCTTTTTTATTCAGGAGATTTTGTACTATTTCAATTTCCTTATTTGTTATGGGTCTGTTTAGGTTGTTGATCTCCTCTTGGTTTAACTTTGGTGGTGACCATGATTTTAGAAATTCATCCATTTCTTTTAAGTTTTCAAATTTAATGGAGTATAGACTTTTAAAGTAGTCCCTTACATTTTTTTTTTTTTATTTCTTTGGTGTCTGTTGTGATGTTTCCCCTTTCATCTCTGATTTTGTTGATTTGGATTTGCTCTTTCTTTCTTTTGGTTAACTGGGCTAGGGCTCTGTTAATCTTTTTTATCTTTTCAAAGAACCAGCTCTTGGATTCATTGATTCTTTGTATTGTTTTCTTTGTTTCTATTTCATTAATTTCTCCTCTGATTTTTGTTATTTCTTCTTGTCTGCTGGGTTTGTATTTAATTTGTTGTTGCTCAATTAAACAAGGGCCCAAAGGGGAGGTGAGAAATAGGTAGTGGGCTGGCACTAGACTGAGAATTATTTGAGACTGATTGCTGCTGGGTGAGGGAGAATATGGCTTATATACAACCATTCGATGGGCTGACTGGACTCCAGTGGGCGCATTTACACTGAAGGACATTTGGGTACAAACACCTGAATGAATAGGACTTAGCATGCATGGGGTTTGGTGGGGGAGTGGAGGAAACATGAATGTGGGGCGCTGGATTTGATTGGGAAATGTCTGAAATTTTAAAAGGTCAATCATATAAAAAATTAAAAAGGTGTTATAGTAGCCTCTGATGCCAAAAAGGTAGCTTTAGTAAAGATTAGTGGAAAACATCAGGGCTTAGGCAATCCAAAGCGTTCTATCTGTATTCTAAATTTGCAGGATTTGCCTTACACTGCTTTGTCTGATAATATTGAGGAATTTTGTTTTGAATTTTATATCATTCAGATTACAAAATCAAAAGATTTTGTTACTTCTGAGCTACTTCTGAAATACCATACATTTTATATACATTCATTGGAGTATTTCTACTGATTCACATAAAAAATATATACCCTAATTTCTACATTTTCAAAAGCATGCAGATAGCATTTTAAATCTGTAGTTTAAGTATGGTCATGAAATGCTGACCAATTTGCATATTTCATCAATAATTGATGGCTTCGATATTACTTAAGAAGTATTAAAAATCCACATAAAGACAAAAATATTTTATAGTGTTTTGCATCCTTACCGACATTAATTTCGTGAGTGAGTTCATATACTGATTCTGTATATAGTGACCTTATTTAAATCCAACATTTTGGTGCAAGAAAAGTGGAATTTTAGGAACTGGAGTTAATTCCAGAGATGTGAAAAGTTAGGAAGAAATAAAAATGAAGAATTCTCCCCAAGTGCAGAGTCAGCAGCTCACGTCTGCATCTCTATGCTTCTGTTAACTACTGTTCATTTTCACTTACTCAGTTCACCCACAGTTCTAGTCCTTGGGCCATGACTTGTATTTTTCTCACCACATCTTTGTGATATTGGATATTAGGAACCTCATTTATAAAGTGAAGCTTAAAGAAATTGACTAATGTACTGAAGGATGGAGGAGATGAGCCCTCTGACTCCTAGGCAATGTGTCTACTTAGCATGCAGTAGGCTTCATGACAAATGCTTTTCCAAACTCATGCAAACAACAAAAAACAAGACTTTTTTAATATTATGCCAAATACATAAATGACTAACACATAATAACATGCCAAAGGACCTTTAAATCATGGAACGATGTCAAATCATTGAGACAGCCCAGGATTTAAGACTTTAGTCACCCCATGTATCCTCCATCCTGTGACTTTATTATCCATCGTTGGGCTTATTTCCTATGTATCTGTGAGCCCAGCAATGTGAACAAAGTCTCCAAGTAAAAATCCAAGAGTTGTTTTTAGGTGGGCAGATGGTTTGACCTCAAATCTTGATTATTCCATGAGCTAGTTATTGGTCTTGGAAGATTTGCTCAATCTTTCCAAGCTCCAGATGCTGTCCTGCTCAATCATGTGAGATCTGAATGCGATAATCTATGTGAAAATGTAGTTAATACTTCAGGACGCAAACAATGCTTGATGAATGTGTGCTGTGTGTTTTTTGGATTAGATTTCCCAAACCTTCCAAAAACATAGTTCTTTAATTCTCTGTCCCTTATATAATCTACACTCTTTTAAAATGGTGCTGAGGATCAAACCAGGGCCTCGTGCATGCTAGGCAGCCTTCTATTCAGGTCTATCACAGCCAATTGTGAGATTTTGGAGATTTCCAATCTCCCAAACACTTATAAACCCAAACTAATGTCTAAGGTGATGTGATGATTTTTGTTTATTATAATATTTTCTCATTTTCTAAATTGTGTTGTAACTAAACTGTAATCTCTCTCTCTCTCTCTCTCTCTCTCTCTCTCTCTCTCTCTCCCTCCTTTTTACTTTAGAGGAGACTGGGACCCAGAGAATTTAATTGAAGTAAGTTCTCATGTGTCTGAAAGTAAGAATGGAAGGTAAGGTTGGTCATAATTTACTTTATCTTATTCATTTTGTATGTACTGGAGTAAATTGTTTAATAATTGAAGATTGGGGGGGTGAATTGTATTATGACATTTAAATATAGATGTTATCCAAATATGAAAAGTCATGGATCAGATGCTTAATATCTGATCCAGAAAAAATTAACAATATTCTAAATTGTGTTAGAATTTCTCAGTCTTGCTGTTCAATCTGTTACTTGGTGTAAAAGGTATCATGGAGATTCAAAGCTTTTCACTTGAGTTGCAAGGATTTATTTTTACTTACTATTGTTTGGTAGGTTTTCAGTGATAAAGTACTCTGGGAATCTTTTCCTTGGATCTCATGTTTTTGAAAATGCACAAAGTCCTCACAGCCACAAAGCAAGACCTAAATTTGAAATTTCTTTCCATAATAGAATATAAAGACTGTGAAACTGCTGATAGCTTTTTAGGCATTAAGAAGAGGAAGATTAGGATAGAAGCCTTCCTCGTTATAGACTACTTAAGTTAGGGAGAATTTGATAACTTTTTCATATGTAATAATGTTTATAAGGACTCTGAAAATAATTGTTTCCTTTTTGGAACTTTCCCATGGTGCCTCTACTTTTTTTTGTTAATCTTCTGCGGGTATATAAGAAATAATGTTGCTGATAGTTCCTGCAGATATTGGAAAAGCTAGAGAAAGAGGATCTGGCTTACTTCCCCATAATATCTGTCAAAAGTTCTCGATTCTAACAGAGTGTTTATGACCCTGTAGTTATCCAGATCATCTTGTGTCTTCTCTGCTGTAATCCCAACAAAGTCTTCCAATGAGGGGAGAAATTTTCAGTAGGATCTGCATATCCTGGAACCACATCCAGTATTTTGGGAAATGGACAGGGCTTACAATAAACCAACTACATCCAAATATTATTTGAAAGTGGTCGATATTATAAAATCAGAGTGGTTAAATATAATTAAGAAACTTTCTATTTAGTTTGATTTGAAAGGTGTTCTACCTTCATGAAATGAGGTTTTATAGGAAGAATTAACAAGGAAATAATACAGTCACATTGAAGGTTGAAAATTCAGTGTATGAATTTAATGGAGCACAATTCAGTTGAGACAGTATCATTTGCAAATTATTTCCATTTCTGTTTGTCAATCTTGCAAACTGGCGATTTTAAAAACATTTTTATTGAATTTTTGTGATTTTCATACAATATAATTTGATGGTATTTAGAGCCCTTCTTCCACCCTCACCTCCCCTTATTGACCCCTGCCCGATTTAAGGTACTCTATTATATATACAATAAGGCCTATAGAGTCAAATTTATGTCCCCAAATGTCCTTCCATGTGGGTCCATTCACTGGAGCCTGGTTAACCTACCAAGGGTCCCATCTTTGAAAGAGACTGTCTCTCCTTTTCCCAATAGCCATCATATGTCCAAAGTTCCTGAGGTTGAGTTGGTGTTTCTCACCCATTTCCCCATGTCTATACTGGAATTTTGTCTGGTTTGAGCTTACATGGGACTAGTGCATGCTGTCACCATTGCTGTGAGCTCATACTAGTAACTGACTAACTGTCTAGAAAATTTTCCTTGTCATCCACCACCTCTGGCTCTTAATGATCTTTCTGCTTCCTCTTCCATAATGATCCTGAACCTTGAGGGGAGGAAGTTTGTTATAGATATCCTATTCAAGGACAAGTACTCTGCAGTCTCTTGTTCTCTGCACATTGGCCAGTGGAGGGTTTCTATGTTAATCACTATCTGCTGCATAAGGAAACTTCTCTGGTGAGATTTGAGAGAAGTATTAATCTATGGGTATAACAATAAGTCATTAAGAGTCAGTTTAATATTATAACTATATGTAGAAAACTAGTATTAGGATCTCCCCTAAGCCCTGTGTCCTGTTTAGCCTCAGGTTCCTGGGTCTGAAATCAATGCGGGAATGGGCTCCATCTTTTGAGGCGGACCCTAAATCCAATTAAAAGTGGTTGATTACTCCCCAAATATCTATGCCGCTAATGTTCTGGAGGGCAAATCTTGCCAGGCCAGTTGTTGTTTCAGTTCACAGGATTCACAGCTGGGTAAGGTTAATGATAATTTTTCCTTCTGGTAGCACCTTCCAGCACTATGAGTGCTGGGCAGTAGAGATGAGACTCTGAAGTCAGTACCAGCTTGATTTCTCCTTGCTTGTTCTACAACTAACTCATGTGTGTAGTGTCTTCAGCAATAGGGTCTTACCATCAAGTTCTGTGAGTAACCAAGAGCAGGGGCAATGGCCAGTATTGTTTGAGAGTCTGTGAGATCTCTGGTCAACAGCTTCAAAAGAGGAAGTCCATTCCTGGCATTGCAGTGTGTGGTTTATTGGCTGATTTTTATTTATTATTATTATCCTATGGTATCTAAAAGGGGCAATGTCCCCCTGTTATAGGGTAACTCCTTCTAATCTCTTTTTATAATGTATATGAATATACTTTAAGAAGTCTCTATAGTAAGGTAGACATGGTGGTACATGCCTTTAATCCTAGCACTCCTGAGGCAGAGGCAGGTGGATCTCTGTGAGTTCAAGGCCAACCTGGTCCTCATAGCAAGTTCCAGGCCAGCTGGGGCCACAAGGAGATCCTGTCTCAAAAAGATGAGAGAGAGAGAGAGAGAGAGAGAGAGAGAGAGAGAGAGAGAGAGAGAGATTTCCATATGGCTTTTTCTAAAAGCCTTTAGTGTTACTTATCCCTCCCATGCTCCTTCCTCTGCTCTCTCCTCCTATTACCAACCCCATTTAATCCTTCCTACTGTAATGTTCCCCTTTATATGACTGCACTCTGCCACCTTTCCTAGGGACCCCCCACACACACCCAACACCAATGACCATTTATTAGTTTCTTGACCTATCTGGGTATATCTAAGATTTCAAAGCTAGCATTCAGCTATGAGAGAGAACATGTGACATTTGTCTTTCTGGGTCTGGGTTACCTCACTCAGGATGATTGCTTAAAATGGTGATTTTTTTTAATGCTTTTATTGCTAAAGGCAATGCACATGTATCTTAGTGTCACTGATAATCTTGTCCTTCGAAGCTGTGTACTTAATAGTTGTATTTTATGTTGTATATTACGTTATTTGAATATATTTATGTATATAGCAGTGCTGGAGTTTAAAACCAGAGCATCACAAAATCTAGGCATAATGGTGTGGTGTGGTGTGAAAAACCAGAGGGAAATGTATTCGTTCAAAAACCCACTGAAAAATACACATACAATCTGTCCATGAATGCATGTGTGTAGCTGAAAGGTATGTAACATGAACTTGATTTGAATATATTTTTTAAAGTTTTAAAAAATATTTATTATTTTTATGTTATGTGTCTGAGTGTATTGCCTGCATGTGTGTAAATATATCGACGTTGTGCAATTACCGCAGAGGTCACAAGAGGGTGTTGGATCCCCTGGAACTGAGGTATGGACAGTTGTTAGCTGCCATATGGCTGCTGGGAATTGAACCTGGGTCCTCTGAAAGAGTAGCCAGTACTCTTAACTGCAGAGCCATCACTCCAGCCCAACAGCCTGTTTGAGAATGATAAAGCTTAATAAAAAATTCCTAGCTAAATTTATTAATCTTAGAATATCTAAGACTCAGGTTAGAAAGCCTTCTATGACAGTATTAATTCCAACTTTTCACTACTTAATATCATTTGAAAATTTTTTCAGGAAACATCTGCATAAAGCAAGATTCTCTTAAATATGAATAAATGAATAGTAATTTATTATTGATGTATACCTCAATATGCAAATTTCAGACAAAATTCTCCACAAAATTTGACATAGAAACTTATACATACGGTTAGAATCACATGAATTTAATAGCTTTAAATTTATGATGTTTAGGGCCTATTGGATTTGAAATTAACATACCACAAGCAACAGCAGTGTTGGTAAAGTTTTAAACAAAATAAAGAAAAAATGTATCTTAAGTTCAATTTGTAGTTTGATACTTGGAAATTTTACTATTTATTAAGCCAAGGCAAAAATCTTTTATAGATAAATTTTATTCTAAGAGTTATAGACACCTCCTTGTAATATTTTTATGTATTTTTATTTCACTTTTTATATGTCAGAGATAATAAAGGTTAAATGTTTTCTTCCTTAAAAGCTATGTAGGAGGGGACTGGACAGATGACTCAGTGTTACGAGCACTGGCTGCTCTTGGAGAGGAACTAGGTTCAGTTCCCAGCACCTGCATCATGACTAACAACCATCTATAACTCCAGTTCCTGGGATCTGACACCCTCTTCTAGCCTCTACAGGCATTGCATGGCATGGGTGTATTTAGATACACTCAGGCAAAACACTTACACACATAAAATGAAAAACAAATGGCAAATAAAAAATAAGTAGGAAAGAACAGCCTGTTTGAGAATGATAAAGCTTAATGAAAATCTGAACTCTTTTGTAGGTTTTCATATCTTTATTTGTCAAAATTTGCCAACACAGAAAAGGAAAAGTTGCTAAATTTTTCACTATTTCTTTAAAAACTTCCTCTGTTCTATGGGGGAAAGGCAAATGTGCTCTCTGCTCTGTTAAACATGATGACATTTTTAGATTAGCAGAAATCTAGGTCAGATTTCGTCTACAGTCTTCAAAGTATTGCCTTTCATTAAAGCAAAATGGGAACTGAAATGTCTCAAGGCAACGCCTGGATCGTTTTCATTAAGTTGATGAATTCTCAGATATGTCATACACAGGAAGCTTTCTAAAAGGGCACCGCTGTTGTGAAAACGTTCAAGGAATCAATTTTTAATGGTTTCTATCCTTGATGAAAATTTACTCTATCCTAGCATTAGATAATGTGGCCAGTGCCTGTGGGTTATTCTTAGAGGTAAGACAACGGTTTCTGTGGAGGCAGTAAAGCAGCCTGTGGATTATGTATCTGTGCCGAAACCAGGCAGATGAAAAGACATACAGCCCCTGGAGTAAATTTTTAATAAAACAAACCCTTTGTAAATGACCTTGACTTTAAGTGCCAAACACATATTTTTGCTCTCACAGGCTAGATGGTCAAGTCAATGGAGTCACCAACACTCGACCCAAGGAGTCCACAAGAACCTCTGTCTACACTTATGAAGCCAGGAACAGCCTCAGGTACTACAGATAACTACAAAACCAATGACAGTACTGTTCCTGCACTTGTTTGTTTACTTGTTTGTTTTTAAATCCCACTTCCAAGCTGACCCTTTCTTTGAATTCCATGAGTTTCTCTATGTAACTATCTTTTACACCAAAGTGTTGAGTTAGCAACTCAGTTATTGTTGGGACATCTAGAGAGGAAAATATGAAATGTAATTGTTGGCTACAAAAAGCACGATTACGACATTGGGGTTGACATTATTTTTTTAAGATTTATTTATTTTATTTCATGTATGTGTGTGTATACCTTAGTGTATGTATGTGCACTGTGTGTGTGCAGGTACCTGTGGGGGCCAGAAGAGGCCATAAGTCCCGTGGAACTGGAGTTACAAGTGGTTGCAAGCCAGCCAGTATGGATGCTGGGAACTGAACTCCTCTGCAAGAGCAGCAAATACTCTTAATCACTGAGCCATCTGTTCATCCCCATGGTGTTGACATTCTTGGGCTAAATTTGAATATTTCATTAAATCAGATGTGAGGATGCACAATTAAGACTTTTTATTTAAAGGTTATGGGAAAAATTTGTGGCTTAGAAATGAATGGGAATCAGGAAAATAGGCCCTAAAACATAGTATGCAGATAGTTAAAATGATCTTCATACAGTAAGGAAAACTTACTGAGTGACCAGTCTTCACAATACTAATTCCAAAGTAAGGCAAATAGTAGAAATTAAAAATGAAATGACAAAACTGCAGAATCTGATTAATAGCATATGAACATATTTATCTTAAAACTTACAGTTTAGGAGAAACATATAAACATTACTTTTTTCATTAACTGGAGAATAGTTTTGTTTTGACTTATCCTCATAAATAACCTTTCAACATGGAGCAAAATGATTTGTATTGCAGCTCCAGCGCTGGAACCAGGCATGGACCTAAGGATACCATTGTCTATACAAGGACATATGTGGAGAACAGGTAACAGAAATGTGCTTCAAATACTTAGCTTCACTTTATAGCTGTGGAATATCTAGGTTAAACAAAAGGGGCTATCACTTTAGGGTGCGCTTTTTTTTTCAAAGAGAAGACAATTTAAGAATATAGTAAATTCTACATACGTAATATTTTATGTTCCAACATTGTTACTAATAAATAGTCATAGTCATTGTATGAACTAAATAATATTTAAATACAAAATTAGTAAATAGTAGAATTGCCGTTTGAAAATTCTCATATAAATATGTATGATTATTTGGTTATAATAAGCTTTATAAAATCACAGATATTCTTCTTAATTTGAATACTCTTTAAAATTTTTTTGTTTATTGAATTTTTGTATATTTCATACAGAACATCTCAATCCATTTAGTCATCTTCATACCCCCTTACCTGCTGGCACCCTCCCATAGATTTCATACATTTGTCATTTGTCTTAAGGCCTATTGTGTCAAGTTAGTGTTCCTAGATGTTCCTCAGGGCAAGTTCATCCTCTAAGGTCTGGTCAGCCTATCTAGAGTCTCTTGCTTTAGGAAGATCAGCTCTTCCTCACCCAGTAGTAATCAGTTGCCAATATTTCTTCAGCCAAGATAGGGTCAGCTGTCCATTTCCCCAGTTCTATGCTGGGTTTTTGTCTGTTTGAGTTTACATGGGTACTGTGCATGCTGACACTATTGCTACAGGTTTATATGAGCAGGGTCCCAGGATGTTTCCATATGGTCATGTACCATGGTCCCTGAGCCCTGGGTGGGTGCAGTTTAATATAGGAATCTTGTCTGAAGACCAGCATTCTGAAGGCTCTGTTTCTACACTTGGCCATTTGTGACTTTTTGTGTTCCTGGTCCTCTGCTGCATGAGGGAGCTTCATTAATGAGAATTGAGATTCATTAGTTTCTTCTTTACCCCTTGTTCTATGTTCCTTGAGTCTTAGGTATAGAGGTTGCATTGTAGATGTACCACTTAGATGGGCAATTCACAGACAATGTCTGTGTGTGACCAGTTTTAGTACTCTGTAATAGCCTCTGTCTGGTGCAAAAGAAGCTTCTTTGATGAGTGGTGACTGGGATATTTGTCTGTAAATATAAGGATACGTGTTTTGCACATAGTAAGCTGTTATATTAGTCTAGATATGTGACAGTTTGGGGGTTTTCTCTAAGATCTATGATCTCTCCAGCCATGTGTATTTGGCTATGTTTATAGTACCACACATGAGTTTTCTCCCATTGAGTGGGCTTTTAGTCCAATTAGTTAGCTTTTGATTGCCCCCAAGATAAAAGTGCACCAATGTGATATGCTGTGCAGGTAATTGATGTGGTTATTTGTTCTTGAAGCTGGTGTGGGACCATTAGCACCTTGCATAGTGCTTTCCAAAGCTACAATAGCTAGCCTTCAGGGGAAGTGACTTCCAGGTCACACAAATCCTGTGTCTGAAGTATGTTCTTGTCTTCAGTAGTAGGGACTTACCATCAAGTTCTGAGAGGCAATCAAGGGATGTGGCAATAGCCCGTGTAATTTTGGGAGTCTCTTGGACCACCCTGGCCAACAACTCAAAGGAAGGTTTCTCCTGTCTGGCACTGTTTCTTGTTATTTTACCTTTAGCTATACACATGGATTTGTTTAGAGATACTGTATGTGTAATTTGTCATTAGGTTGTTGAGCTAATATAATTTGCTCTGGATTTTTACAGTAGCTAGGCATTATTAATTTCTCCTCTCTCTCTCTCTCTCTCTCTCTCTCTCTCTGTCTACACTTGCATCATGACTTCCCCATTTAAAGTGTCCCCTTTTTCCCATTTCTCCCTTGATAATGCCAGTCTCCTATGGTCCCACCTCTCTTGAGCTCTTTTCCCTTTATCCTTGAAGTTCCTTGTATAACCTTCCCTCCCCCTCCCATTTAAACTTCTGGATACTTCAAAAGCATTCCTAAGAGAGAAGTTTATAGCTCTAAGTGCCTACATTAAAAAATCAGAAAGAACACAAATAAATGACTTAGCATTGTGATTCAAGATTTGTCAAAGGCAAAACCGAATGAAACCCAAACCCAGCAGACAAGAAGAAATAACAAAAATCAAAGCAGAAATCAATGAAATAGAAACAAAGAAATAACATAAAGAATCAATGAATCCAAGAGCTGGTTCTTGGAAAAGATAAACAAGATTGACAGACCCTTAGCCCAGTCAACCAAAAGAAAGAGCAAATCCAAATCAACAAAATCAGAGATGAAAGGGGAAACATCACAACAGACAACAAAAAGATCCACATTATAAGGAAATACTTTATGAACCTATCTATTACACTATTAAATTTGAAAACCTAAAAGAAATGATGAATATCTAAAATCATGGGAATCACCAAAACTAAATCAAGAAGAGATCAACAGTTTAAACAGACCCATGACATATAAGGAAATTGAAACAATGGATGTTTCAGTATAAAACCTCCTGGCTAAAACAAGCCCAGGCCTAGATGAATTTACAGCAGATCTACCAGACAGTTAAAGAAGACTTATATCCAACACTACAAAATGATAGAAACAGAGGGAGAACCCCAAATTCCTTCTATGAAGCCAGCATCACTCTAATACCCAAATCAGGTAAAGATACAACCAAAAAAGAAAACTATAGACTCATATCCTTAATGAATGTAGACGCAAAAATTCTCAACAAAATACTTGCAAACTGCATACAGACTCGGATCATCCAACAGGATCAAGTTGGCTTTATTCCAGAGATGCAGGGATGGTTCAATATACATAAATCAATAAATGTCATAAATCATATAAATGGATTCAAAGACAAAAACCTCACGGTCATCTCAATAGATGCAGAGAAGGCCTTTGACAAAATTAAAAATGCATTTATATTAAAATTCCTAGAAGGAATTGGATTGGAAGGAACATACCTCAATATAATTAATGCTGTATACAACAAACCCATAAAAACCCATAATAAATATTTTATTATTTTTATTTTATGTGATGAGTGTATTTCCTACATGTTCATGAGTGCACCCATGTCTTGCAATGCTGCAGAGGTCAGAAGAGGGCTTCGGATTCCCCTGGAATTGGAGTTAAGGATGGTTCATAGCCACCGTGTGGGTGCTAGGAATCGAACCTGGGTCCTCAGCAAGAGCAGTCAGCGCTCCTAACCACTGAGCCGTCTCTCCAGCCCTGCCAACATCATTTTATATGGAGAAAAACTCGAAGCATTCCTATTAAAATCAGGAACCAGAAAAGGATGTCCACTATCTCCACTCCTTTTCAATATCGTGCTTGTTACTCTTGCTAGAGCAATAAGACAAGAGAAGGAAATTAAAGGAATACTAACTGGAAAAGAGGTCAAACTATCCCTTTTTGCAGATGATATGACATTATGCCCAAGATATGCCAAAAATTCCACCAGAAAACTCCTAGAAATGATTAACATTTTCATAAAGTGGCAGATTATAAAATTAATCTACTAAAATCAATAGCCTCAATAACAAGCAATTGGAGAAAGAGTACATGGAAATCCTCCCAATCACAATAGCTTCATAAATAAATAAATAAATAAATATCTCAGAATAAACCTGACCAAAGACACTAAAGATCTCTACAATGAAAATTTAAAATCTTTAATGAATACCCATAATTTAAAGGGTCTATTTGCTTCCAGTGTGGAGTAGAAATTGTATCTTTAAGTACATGCACTGTGGCCCAAATTACAGTGACTTGTTACCCCATGAAAACAGCTTGGAATGATGGATGTTGAGAGAAATGTCAATCATGATCAGGAATCCAATCCCATTTAGTATTGAAACATGAATTGGCCTAATTATAGGAAAATTTAATAGAAGAACACACAAATATGTGATATGTGTGGGTTCATTTCTAAGAGGCCTGAGATAGGAGTTCAAGGGAGTCTTCTGTGTGATGAGACCCCAAGGGACAACTCACCACATGCATGTCAAGAAGTAAACATTATTCTAGAAAGAGCCTACAAACCCATGTATAGTCAAAATTGGTAAGCAGAATTTTTTTAAAGGCATTTCCCCCTATATTTACATAGTAATATTTTTCACACATTGTTGCTCTCTGGGGTATTTCACCAGTACGTGTTGCTTCTTAAGAAATGTTCCAATGGACATTGATTTTGATAAACAGTGCGTTTTTGAGAATTAAGTACAGTCTACTAAATGCCATGATCTACATTTTTTTAAATTTACTAAATAGATAAATAAAAATCTTGATTTATAGAAGTGCAGAAACTAGGGCATACTTGAATTATTTTATGTTGACTGTGACTTTTTAAAACTTCTGTGTATATATTATTAGTGTTTCTGTATATGTGTATTGTACAGGCATATAGATAGTAATTCTCAAAGTTCAGTTTCTGGGCTAGCTTCATTAACATACCTGAGAACTTGTTAGAAATGAAAATCCCTTGGTCCTACCACACACCTGGAGGCTCAGAAGTTCTGCTGGCATGTTTTAACAATCTCAATACATGTTTCTGATGCAAATTCAGATTTGAGAACCATGACTGTAAAGGGTAAAATTGTAACATGTCAGGCCAATAATTTGTAGGGTAGAATATTCTGGGAGGATGGGTTTGCCCCTGTATTGTAACCTAACAATAAGAGTGATGTACCTTAAACATTTCTAACCTTCCTAAAATCTACAATGACAGATATGACAGATAGTACAGTGCAGTGGGAAATCATAGAGTCATATTCAGGGATGAGTCCTTTTTGGTTGTTTACTGCCCTAATAGCCTTGGCAAAAGTACTGTGTGTGTGTGTGTGTGTGTGTGTGTGTGTGACAGCATGCATATGGAGGTCAGAAGACAACCTTGGGTGTTGATTCTCCAAGGCCAGGTTGATTTTTTGTTTGCTACAGCTGGGCCTGGCTAGCTGGCCTGCAAGCTTCCAGGGATGCTGCTGTCTCTGCCATCCATCCCACCATATGAGCACTGGGATCACAGACACACACTACACAAACCCAGTTTCACATGGGTTTTCGGGATTCAAAGTCAGGCCCTCACACTCATGCAGCATTTGCTTTACCCATTGAACTATCTCCCGGGCCTGATAAAGGTAGTCGTTTTCCTGTTTTCATATTTGACTTTTAATTGACATTTTGGAAAACCAGCTGATATAACTGGTTATTTTCCTTCCACAGTAGTTTAAAAATATTTTATTAGTTCTTTGAGGATTTCATACAATGTATTTTGATCACATTCATCCCCAACTCTTCTCAGATCCACCTCCACCTTCCTCATCCCCCAACTTTGTGTCTTCTTTCACTTATATTTACTTAAATAACTCATGGACTGAAATTTGTGCTGTTCATATACTTCTGGCTAAGGGACTATTCACTGGCAAGTGGTTGACCTACCAGGAGCCACACCCTTAAAGGAAACTTATTCTTTCTCCCCTGAAGCCATCAACTATCCACCTCAGTTAGGGGTGGGGGCCCATGAACCCTTTCCCACTCCATGCTAGAATGTTGATTGGGTTGATCTTGTGCAGAAACCACAGCTGCTGCGAGTTCATGAGTGCATCAATCCTGTCATGCTCAGAAGACTCTTTTCAAGCCAGTCTTTCCTGACTCTGGCTTTTTCCAACTTCCAGCCCGCTCTTTTGTGATAGTCCCTAAGCCTTGGGTTGGGGTATTATATAGATGTCCCATTTGTGGCTGAGCACCCCAGTTATTTATTCTCTGCGCCTTGACCAGTTGTGAGTTTCTGAATTAACCACCATCCACTGTACAAAGAAACTTCTCTGATGAGGTCTGAGAGCTACACTAATTTAAGTCTTAGTTTCATCAAAAAAGTGGGCATATTCATGTGTGAATCGTGCAAAAATACATGGAAGCTTGTATTTGGCTTTGTAGGTTAATGAGGTTCAGGAAGCAGATTTTAGTACTGACAGCAGTCTGCCTATGGGCAGTTTGGAGGTAGAGAGTGATTTCTCATTAAAAAGTCCTGAGTGAAGGCAGTGGAATTATCACTGTGGAAAATACTGCCTCCAATCCTGATACACTTGCAGGTAGCAAAGTCCTTGGGAAGCAATTATGAGGAGCCAGATGGTCAGTCATTTCACATTTCATTTGTCTGTAGCAAAAAGGGAGATTTGCAAACTGGAGCAACCTACAAAATGGAAGAGAAGTCTTTTAGAAATTGTCTGTTTTTCTTACATTCTAAATTACTTTTTCTTGGGTTTTTTAAAGTAAAAATAAACTCTAGATGTTTCCCTAAAAATTTGAGTTTCTGTTTCTCCCTGGGAATAGTGTGTGTGTGTGTGTGTGTGTGTGTGTGTGTGTGTGTG